CTGCGGGGCGACCACTTCCCGCCAAGAGGCGCGCGCGCGGCCGATCGTCGTCGCCGTCGCCGCCGCCGGCACCATCACCACCACAACCACCGCCTCCGCCATCGTCGTCGTCCTCGTCCTCGTCCTCGTCCTCGTCGTCCTCGTCGTCCTCGTCCTCGTCCTCGTCCCCGTCGTCGTCGCCGTCCAACCTCCTCTCTCTCTCGTCCCTCTTCCTCCTCCTCCTCCTCCTCCGCCTCCTCCTCCTCCTCCTCATCTCCTCCTCATCTCCTCCTCATCTCCTCCTCATCTCCTCCTCATTATCTCATTATCCCCCTCCTTCTCCTCATCCTCCTGGGTCCTGGCACCCCCTGGGCCTTCTTAGAAATGTATGGATATACATACGTACATGCATACATACATGCATACATACATGCATGCATACATACAGGCAGGCAGGCATGCATGCGCACACACACACACACACACACACACACACACACACACCACTATGCATGCATGCATGCATGCATACATACATGCATGCATACATGCATGAAAACCTTCAGACATACATACACACATGCATGCATACGTAGATACATGCATGTGTGCATACAAACATACATGCATACATGCATACATATATATACATACATGCATGCATGCATGCATACATGCAGACATGCAGACATGCATGCATGCATACATACATACAGACCTGCACCCATACACACATACACACATGCATACACACACAGACAGGCATGCATAAATACATGCATGCATACATACATACATGCATGCATGCGTGCATGCCTTCGTACATACATGCATACAGACATGCATACGTACATGTATGCATACATACATATACACACATTCGTATATACATGCATGCATGCATGCATGCATGCATGCATGTGCATACATGCATGATTACATACATGCATAAGTACGTGCATACACATGTACAACATATATACACAAAGACACAACTACATGAATGCATGCATACACGCATGTAAACATGCATGCATGCTAACTATACATGCACACATACAAGCATACATGCTTGCATGCATGTATACATACATACAGAATGACAGACATGCCTGTCTACCTACCTCCCTCCCTACCTACCCACCTACCCACCTACCTACCTGCAGAGATACATACGCACACACATACATACAGACATACATACATGCATGCATGCATGCATACATCCATACATACATACGAGAGGCGCGTTTCACGGGCGCTTGCCTTGGCAACATTCGGCGGCGCGTTTCGAACCCGGGGGCCCCCCCCCAACACTCGGCGCCGTCGATCAGAATCAGGGAGTCTCCCCTCCCCCCTAACACCCCCCCCTCCTAAACCATCCCCGCCTCCTCCCAGGGAGGGGGGGTCCAAACCCCCCTCCCCCCCAGGAAAAAAGCAGGAGATTCTAACTCCAACAATGTGTTATCTTCCGGCTTCCTGGGGGGGGGAGGGTTCGAACCCACCCCCCCTCCTCTATCTCCTCGGTGTCGGTTCTGGCGCCTGCACCTTCTGGCGCCTGCGCGGCCGGCAGCACCAACGGCAGCCGCAGCGACGATGACCAGAGAGAGCCCAGAGGCCACCACGGGAAAATACAAATTGCCATATCGAGCCGTTGCTTCCCAAAAGCCACCAGGGGCCCTTAGGAAGTTCCCAGAGACGCCCAAGAGGCGCCCAGGAGCCCTCACACATGCTCCTCAGACACCCCCGGGACCCCTCTGACGAGACCCCAGGAGGCATCCATTGGAAGTACAACCCAAAGCCAAGACACGGTGACGGGAGGACCCGAAGGCCACGCCACCACCACCACCACAAATCACCACACCACCACCACCACCACAACCGCCACCAGCACCACCACAACCCACAACTACCCACCACAACCACCACAACCATCACCATAAACCACCACACAATCACCACCACCACCGTCACCACAACGCACAACCACCACAACCCAACACCACCACCACCACCACAAACCACCACACCACCACCACCACCGCCACCACCACCACCACCACCCACAACCCAACACAACAACCACCACCACCACAAAACACCACGCCACCACCACCACCACCTCCACCACCACTACCACCACCACCACCATAAACCGCCACCACCACCACCACCACAAACCAGCACACAACCACCACAACCACAGCCACCACCACCACCACAACAACCAACCACCACCACCAGAACACCAACCCACCACCACTACCACCACCACAGCAACCCACCACACCACCACCACCACCACCACCGCCACAAAAACCACCACTATCACCACCGAAACTCACAATTACCACCAACACAAACCACCAAACCACCACACCACCACCACCACAAACCACCACAAACCACCATACCACCACCACCGCCACCACCGGCACGACCACAAATAACCACACCACCACCGCTACCGCCACAACCACCACCACCACCACCACAACAACCTGCCACCACCACCACCTTCGCCACCACCACCACCACAAACCATCACACCACAACCACCACCACCACCGCCACCACCACCCACCACAACCCACCACCACCTTCACCACAAACCACCCTACCACCACCACAAACCACCCCACCACCACCACCACAACAACAAAACACCACACCACCACCACCACCGCCACCACCACCATCCTCACCACAAACCACTTCAACGGCACAACTACTACCACCACCACCACAACCACCACGAAAAACCACCACAACACCACCGCCACCAACACCACCACCACAACCCACCACAACTACCACCACCACCACAAACCACCACACCACCACCACCACCACCGCCACCACATCTAACCATCACCACAATCACCACCACCACCACCAACAACCACCTCATCACCACCACCACCACCACCACCACCTCCTCCAACCACCTCCGCCACCACCACCACCACCACAACCCACCACCACCACCACCACCTCAGTGAGGCCCCGAGGGACGCCCAAGAGGCGCCCAGGAGGCTGCACGAATGCCTCCCAGAAGGCCGGCGGATGGGCTCGAAGCCCACACAAACGACGATCAAAAACGGGTCTCACGCGAGATGGCACAGCGACCTCACGCGGCAACTTCCGCGGGCCGCCACCGCGGCACGCTGCATTGGAGACGCCGGCGCCAGCCCGAGGAAAGGGAAAGAGGAGGGGTAGGGGAGAAGCGAAGGAGGGGGGGTGGAAGGGGGGAGGGGTTTTGAACCCCCCCCCTCCCGTCACGGAAGAGAGGGGGGGAGGTTCAGACCCCCCCATCAAATCCAGGGGTGGGGGCCGTTCCAAATGCCCCCCCCCCTCCAAGCGACCACAGAACGGGCTCTTTCATACATACATACGTACATACTTTTGTATATCTATATATATAGAGATATATAATAATATATATATATATATATATATATATATATATAATATATATGTACACCTACCTCAGTTCCATCTACACATACATAAACATATGCATATACAAATACAAATACAAAAATATAAACATATACCTATGCATATACATATACAAATACATATATATATATACCTATACATATACATATACATATACAAATACATATACATATACATGTACATGTACATATACATATCCATATACATATACATATGTCGATATATACATGTGCATATATGTATACATATACACACGCATATACATAAACATAAACATATACATATACGTATACATATACATATACATATACATATACATATACATATGCATATGCATATGCATATACATATACATATACATATATATATACGTATATACATATGCATATGCATATGCATATACATATACATATACATATACATATACATATACATATACATATACATACGCATGTACATATACATGTACATGTACATATACATGTGTATATATACTTAGGCGTAACCTGTACAAATGCATGTACATATGCATGCACACATATACATATACATATACATAGTTGTGCCTATATACACAAATACAATTGTTTACACGTATACGTATACATATGCATACGCATGTGTATACATACATATATACGCACACACATATACCCATATACAATTGGTTATACGTACACTTATACATATACATATGCGTGTACACATATCTATACCCATCCATAATTCAAGAATGCTTCATGTATACTGAACCTGGCCCCCCCCCCAAAAAAAACGGCGCGGTTTCCGCCCGTCGGTCGGCGGCGCCAGTGTCACCGCCACCCGGGCGGGGCAGCTGGCGGCGCCCATGGCCACTGAGGTGGGAGGTGGGGGGGGGGGGGCGGAGCGTCGGAGGAGGAGGAGGTGGAGGAGGAAGAGGAGCAAGAACGGAGGAAGAGGGAGGCAGGAGCTGGAGGAGAAGAGGGGATGGAGAAGGAGAGGAAGGTGGAGGGGAGGGGAAGAGGAGGAAGACGACGACGACAAGAGGGAGAGGAGGACAATGGAGGAGGAAGGGAAAGGAGGAGGAGAGAAGAGGAGCTGAAGGCGGATGAGGAGAGGGAGAAGGAGGAGAAGAAAAGGGAGGAGAAGGAGGTGGAGGAGGTGGAGGAGGAAAGGGAGGAGGAGGAGGAGCAAGGACAGAGAAAGGGAGAGGCAGGAGTTGGAGGAGAAGAGGGGCAGAAAGAAGACAGGAGTTGGAGAACAAGTGGGGCGGATGAGGAGAGGGAGCAGAAGAAGAGGGAAGAGGAGGAGGAGGAGGAGGTGGAGGAGCAGGAGGAGGAGGGAGGAGGGAGGAGGGGGGAGGAAGAGAGAGGGAGAACAGGGAGGAGGAAGAGTAAGCTGGAGGAAGAGGAGGAGGAAGAGAAGAAGAAGAAGAAGAAGGCCGGTTTAGGACAGCTTTCGACCAACCATCTACCAGTGGTAACCTCCCTGGCAGGGCGAGGAGGGACGAGGAGGACAAGGGCACGGACATCCGACGACGTGTTTGTCCACTCTCTCGCCCCAGGCTCATTCTCGACGGC